AAGCACAAAAAATCCCTAGAAAGATAGGTAATTCTCAGGCTTACTGGTCTAAATTGCAACGGTTCTTCATCCTGCTGCATCTTTTTAAAAGAAACAGCACAAATGTAGGCACAAGAAATCCCCTCTACTTCCTGTTTTTATGAAAACAAAGATATAAGTGGAAGGCAGAACAACAGAGGGATAGGCTAAGGAACTGGATGCTTGTAGGAAAGTGGTTTTTTATGGTGTATTTATGCATCACAGAGATATACGTGCAGTTTTTTTACTAAAATGATACAATTGCTTTATAACCTTGACAATGAACTGCTGGTATGCTTCATGGCAAATTTCAGAACTACTTATTATAGGTAAGACCTTATTACTACTTGTTCATAATACAGAGAGGTATTTAAACACCCCATCATTCATCATAACATGTGGGAAGCAAAGCTTTGGTGGTTTCCTTATAATTTAGACAAAAAGTGGCGCTTCTCCTGGTGCCCCCACTCTTGGGCCGGCACTTTCAGGGGGGGTACCAGTGCTTCCACCTGCCCTGCCTAAGCAGGGAACACTGGCTGTCAGGGGGTGCACCAGCGCTCTTAGAGGGTGCACGTGCACCCCCTATGAGTCGCCACTGATTTCACCATTTATACAACTGCACGCGAAGCAATGCAGTGCGTGTCAGCTCGTGTGTGGAGCAGACTCGATTAATCGAGTGTGCTTTGACCCACCAGATCTCCAGTGTGTCATGGGATGAAAAGGTATGTGTATAAATGCCCTTTGTTTTTTGCATGCCACTAATTCACATGGCTGTTTTAAAACTTTCTGAATTACTACTAATGCCTCTGCCAAACTTATTATTGTTACTATTTGTATTGCACTGGTGCCAAAGGTCCCAAATAAAGTGAGGCTTCATTGTTTGGGCCATCTCCAGCCTAATTTAAGCAGGGAGGTGGGGACTGAGAGCAAAATAAGTTTTACCACTTGCACTTATTACTGTGGCCTATGCTGAACTCCTTTTTAGGTGAGCAAGTATAACCTGTTTTATACTTATTTTGGCTAAGTGGCATTTTGCCTACCTTTTCTATCCTGCCCCCCATTTACACACAATTTACCTTGCCCTTCTGAACATGCTCAGAAAGACCTGCTTCAGCCACTTACACTCTATTACTATCCTACTCTACCAAAGTAGATGTATAAACTCTGCATAAGTCCCCAAAATCTTAGTCAAATGAAAAAACATGATCAGTGACTATTTGGTACTAGAGGAAGAAGAAGAACAGGGGGATCCTGTCACTTTTTAACCCAATAGCAGTTAAAGCATTTGCCTAGGGAACTGTGGACCCAGGTTCTAGGTCTCCATCACCCAGAGGGATTTAAAACTATATATTTCATTGCCTGGACAGTGCACTAACCACCAGGCTATGATGAGGTATTGCTGAGAGCAATCTCCATTTGTCGTGTTAAAGCAAGTCCAACTATTATCCACTAGTAAAAGATAGATGGGGCCAGAAAAAGAACAAGCCTAAGGGAATCTGACTTAATGAAATGGATGCTGCCTTGGAAGGCAGCCTTGGATTCTGGCTCCTGCCCAAATCCCTAATGGGGAAGAAGCTACCCCATTACTGGTACGTCATTTTATCCAATAACTGTTAAATGCATAGTCATGATTTTTTTTTGTAACTGTGCTACTTGCCTACCTATAAGTGGAGTTTAATTTCAGCCATATGTTTTATTTCCAGACCTTTAAAATATTCCAAATGAACCCATGTAAAATAGTAGAACCCTAGCATCAGTTTTGCAGGAAATTTGGTAACAGTTAAAAGAGTGAATATGCAGGTTTTAAGAACTATACAAAATTATTTATTCTAAAGAACAAAACCTTCCCTGAAAATCAGCAGTGAACATGTAGGAACATAGTATTTCATTGCATTGTTCTGTTAGATATACCATTTTTGGAAGACTCATCAAATCTATGTCTCAACACACCAGATGGCGAATGTGTGTTCTGTTCACTACTGATCTAAACTTCACCACATAAAGAAAACCACATAACTTAGACTGATTCTACCTTGGGCTTTTTGAATGTCTGTACCTAGCCTGAGAGAACGTTGCCTCCTGAAGTCCCTATCAATTCTCTGCCCACTATAGGGGATGTTATGTCTCTTCTAGGATCTTCCTCCATATCTTCTGCCTCCAGCAGGACTTCTGTGCCAACAGGGGAGATCTCAGTGTATGTACTTCCTCCAGTTTCCTTCATCTCTTCCCCACAATCCTTTTCCTTTTCTTTGGGGGGTCTACCACTGAGGGAAACATTGACGACATTGATTTATTTATTTCCAAGACCTTACTGATTTGGTCTTTCCTCCCTATTAAATAACTCTCTTATAATAAATAACCCAAAAGAGGTGCAACAAGGCTTTTCTAACCTTCTCTCAACATTTTTGCCAGAAAAGCAATAGCATTCATCCACTTTCATACACATCATTAAAATGTGAGTAGAAACCATCCAAAATGTTCTGGACCACCAGGTTTTCCTGCCCACCATGCTCCCTCCTTAAGTGAGGTATTGCATTTATTTATCATTCATCCAAATTGACACTTAGTCTTTCTCCAACTCTTTCATTTTTCTGCTGCTTCCTTCTCACCTCTTCCATTTAAGAAAAAGAACCATACCTTCATGTAACAATGCTGTGCAGTTCTTCATCAGGTTTAATTGTTCCATACCCCTCTTCAGGAGCGTATGTTTCTTCAGTGCCCAAAACAATAGAATTTAATTAGATAAATATTACAATCAGATAAATGTTTATTAATCATCATCATCATCATCAAGGGATGCAAAAATCTTAGTGATCACATTTTAGGGTTGTTGGTTGTAGCCGTGTTGGTTTAAGGACATAAATAGACAAGGTCCTTTGGGTAAATGTGGTATCTTTTATTAGACCAACTAAGTTGTTGGAAAAAATTGTCCTTTGCAAGCTTTTGGGCACAGGCATCCTGGTGAACTGTGTGCTCTCCTGGGTAGAATAGAAGCCAAAATGCAAAATGCAGATCTGTGAAAATGCAAATGCATGGCAGTGAGGATCAGAGGGGTGTGGAAAACAATAGGTTTGAGAGAGGAAGGAGGTGGGAGGGGGAATGTTTAACTGGTGATAGAAGGATGTAGCTGGTAAAATGCAGACAAGTTACCTGGGGTTATCAGATGGCAGACAGGTTATAATGTGCATAAATCCAATGTTTATATTTAGTCCATGATTTTTTTTTTATCCAGTAGATTTATGAAGTGAAGTTCATAGAATTATCTATGAAAGGAGTTTTGTGAATTCCCCTTGAGGATTAGAACTGAGAGACTGGAGTGAGAGTGACTGTCTTGTGAGAAGTGTGTGCCCACAGGTAATTGGGTAGATTTGATAGATTTTTGGTGTGCATTCATTCTGGTATGCAGTTGTTGTTTGGGTTCTTCTACATATTTTCCATCCAGGAATTCAGCGCACTGGGTGAGATATATTACATTTCTGGAGGTGCAAGTGTAAGATCCAGGAATCTTACACTTTGCCAATGGTGATGGCTCTGTTGTGGGGTGTAGTTATTGTGGGGGTGGTGGAGATGTGGGTGCACACTTCTCACACTTCTCAGAGAAACTTGTCTGCAGTGATCATATGTTTAATTTGTAATTTGAGAGAGGAAAGGATCTTGCTTTCCTCTAAAACAATCAGTGATCTAAATAGAAAATAAGTCAATATCTCCCTTGTTGATCTTAGTCTTATTTGCATCCCTTGATTTGCATACAGTAGTTCAAAACTTCCCCAGTACATTCATCTTTTCAGTAAGTTAAAATATTCTAAAGTCAACTACAAAGGGCTTGATGTTTCTTCTCTCTAGAAATTGATTTGATTCACATAACAATCATTCCAGTCAACACTCAATCAGTATTATCTACAAAACAATATCCAAAGTGAGACTGACTGCCATCTTTCTAAATGGGATTTTCTTTATTTTAAGATCCCAGACTTAAAAAGAAAACAAAAAACAAGATACAAACAAACCATTGTGAATTATTCTTCTGCCATTTTTCATTTTGAAGTATCTTTCAAAGTTTTCAGCAGTGAATGATTCATTTTTCCTCTAAAGTGCTCAGGGATCCTGCTTGACCTCTGTTTGTGTTTTTGGAATTTCTGTGAATATCATTGAAGATTAACAAAACATCAGAAGAAAAGCTGGACTCTATAAGAGCCATATTTTTTGTGCCTAACCTGAAAAGCAATGAACAGAAAATTAAAGTACTTTTAAAATAATTTTCCAAGATTGGTTTTAAACATCTTTCTTCATCATTGTAAAAATTATCCCAATCAAACTTGTGGTGTATTTGGTAGCACAGCACCAGGCATAGCCATAAGAGAGAGGTTGGCACAGGCCTTGGGATTCTTAGTTTTGGTCTTATAAATAACTGTATAATGCACTGCTTTGAATACTTTAACTGCAATTTGTTAGTATTTTATAATATTGTTTATAATACATTTAAATTATATAGCACATTTCATCTGAGGATTAAATACCACTTTACAAACATGAATGAATTAAGCTCTACAACATCTGCGTGAGGTAGGGCAGTATTATTACCCTCATCAGACAGATGAGCCAACCGGGGTATGAAATATTACAATCTGATTTGAAATTTTGGCTCTATTGAAATCCATAGCAACATTTCCATTGACTTCAGTACAGTCAGGATTTTATCCTGATCCCTCTATACTGTATATGGGTAGCCAGATGACAAATGTATAATGTTAGAATGTTTGCAGGTGATTGCTTAACATTGATAAGAAAAGTAATACAACTCCACCTTTTTGCTTTTATTTCCAGAGCTGTTAATCCTGCTTATTTATGCAGTCATTGTATTGCCCAAAATATATTAATCATTTTGTTTAATTTCTTTATGTATGATATACTCAATAACTATAGTTTTGAATATGAGAGGGTAACGTTAATGAGTCCAATTCATAGTTTGTTTTTCCTTACAGAATGTACTTTGGAGGTTTAAATTCTCTCAGCTTAAGGGCTCTTCAGATGATGGAAAAACAAGAGTAAAGCTACTTTTTCAGAATCTAGACACCAAACAAATTGAGACAAAGGTAGGCAGCATTTTTTCTCCACTCCATTTAGAAACAAAATAGAATGAACTATATATATCCAAGTTTCCATTGAATGCTATGCATATTCACAGTGAACAGCTAAATTTTGTATTATCTTTTCCATATTTTCTAGAAGCTGTTCAATAAATAAAGGTTCTGATGTATCTAAAAATGTATTATGCTATATAAATGATTGGCTTAATGAATTATATTACTATAAATTTTAAAACTTTCATTCACAATGATAATTTCTCTGAAGTTAAGTGCAATTATCCTAGAAATGACATAAATTTAACATTGATTTAAAATGTAAAATGAAATCTTAAATCAATGTTAAATTTATGTACATTTATTTTAAATATTTACATTGTAAAGAGACATTTTAATAGTAAAATATTTGCTAGCTGCCATATAGTAAAATTAGAATGTCATACACAAAAATGGATTTTATGATTTATTGATAAAAACAAATTATTATTTATTATTAGTACCTACATAAGGGAGAATTCTTGTGAGGGACCAAGAACCCTCAACTTCCCTTGAACCTATTAGTTTCAATGTGAGTTAAAGAGCAGTGAGCACTATGAAGGCTCAGGCATTAAATAGTGCTAATGTACAATTTGATTATATGCCAACTATTGGATGATGCCAAATTGTAGGTGAAACAGTTCAGAGTTTTATGTATTTTTTTACCAACATAATTTAGACAAAGATCTAAGACTTACAATTCAGATTCAAAGTTAGTTAGATTCCAACCCCACCACCAACCCAATTTCATCAGCATTTGGATTCAGAAGTCTAGTTTGAGAAGTGCTAATTGTGGGGTAGACTAATTAGGTGCAGAGTAAAGTGTCACCATCTACACATGCAATGTTATTCAGCCTTGGTAAACTAATTAACACCACAGTAAGATAGTACTGTCAGGCGCAATACTATCATATGCTGGGGTAATTTACTACAATTAAATGCACATACAGATACTGACCATGGGCATAAATTGCACCTGGTCAACACAAACAGCCAGAGGCCAGACTCCTGCCTGCAATTGGGTTGGTGCACATAGTTCCATACTTTCAGCATCTTTGTGCCCCAGCCACCCCCCATTCACGTTCTGCCACCACTCAGAGCCCAGGGCTGAGCGGCCCTGGCATAAACTTCTCTGCCTTGTCAAACTGCTGCTGCCATGGCTGCACCTATAGCTGCTACACCTGAGAATAGTTTACTTTAGCTCAAACTGCTTCTGCGTGTATTGCTTCAAATTAATTGCATGTGTAGATGCAACCAGAGTGACTGCAATATTTAATTCTTAATCAGGGGACTTAAACCCATAAGAGTTTGAAAGTATTCAGAGTTCCTACATAGGCACTGCATAAGAAAATGAAACATTGAGACTGAAATTTCTGGCAGAGCAGAGGAAATTGAGGAATAACATAAGTGAGATAAGAAGAAAATGATAAGAACTTGCTTGTGATATGGTGAAAAGGAAGTCCATGGAGAGATTCAGGTAGGACGGTTAGATCTTTGGGCAAAGATTGGTGAGAATAATAAAGAATCCAAAGAATTTTAAACATTTTAAAATCCCTTCTTCTCTTATGTTCCTTAGATTTCATTGTCTATTCATTTGTGAATTTATAATTGCTTTGTTCTTTAGTAATTTTAAAACAAAACAGGGTAGACAAGACCTGAAGTTTCTAATATTAGAAGGTTGCAAAAAAATATTCTGGCATTCTTTATAAATAGTAAAGAAATAAAATTAAAGTTATAACATTAAAGAAGTAAAATTAACTTATTTTTCTTTTGTTGTATATGTTTTCTAATTATTTCAGTATTTATTGCCTATTGGCCTCCATTTGGCAAACATCATTCCTAGGGTTGGTGGAAAATAATGATTTTTCTCAAAGAAAAAAATGTTTTTTGACTAAACACTTGTTTTAGTCAAATAAATAGAGCTTTCTATCTTCAGAAGTTTTTTATATTTTGTCAGAAATGATAAACCATTACACACCTAAGTATTACCTAGGCTCTGTTGCAATTCATGCGGGTATTTGGAAGTCTGTAAACTCCATTAAGTCCCTGGAGAGGTCCTGTTACAGATGTTCAGAAGGTTAAAGTTAAAGTGTGACTATCTCACACTTTAATATAAAAAATGGTGGTAATAGTGGTGCTGCCAGTCACTTTTGTTCAATAACTTCATGTCTGCAGCACAAACACAGGAACTTGGAGACTAAGATCCCAGGCCCTCATCACCCAGAAGGCAGGCATGACACATACCTCCCACTACCAAGGCAATTATCAGGCTCCTGCTGCAGAAGCTGGGCTAGTGCGCAGCCAGGAATGGAAGAATTATGGGACACATCCATACACGCAAGCATGTGCACTCACAGCAGCTCAAATAGAAGCAGTGCAAATTTGAGCTGGGGCTTTTTGCCTCCATGCACTTGCCTGGATATGCACTTTGTTGTGAAACAAATTGTGCCACGTCGGGCAAAATAATCCTGCCTGGCTCATCCCAGATTTGTAGCCAGGGGGAGCTAGAGCCTGGGGCCAGCACCTGTCCTGGCCCCAGCAGTATAAAAACCTGCCCTGGCCAGTTACTCAGGGCTCCTTGCCCTAAACCCTCCTCTGGAACCCTCAGCTGGAGCTGGCAATGGCAGTGGCACCCCAGTTGCAACAGGGTTTGATTCTGACTGGTGTCACCCAGATTGGAGACCTCCTGGACTATGATAGGCAGGAGTAGATGGACCCTGCTGCAGTGGCTGAGTCTGTACTCCACCCTCATCCCATAAGCCACTGGGGACCTCAGCTGGCAGCTCCTTCAGGGAGCCATTGCCACAGGTGTGTATGTGGCAAGCTTCACGGACACCCCCGTCTCCTGCCTTTTCTGTGGGCAGAGGGAAACCCTGGAGCACATGACCCTCGAGTGTCCCAAGCTGCAGCCCTTCTACCTCCACCTCCAGGTTGAATTTCACTTCCCACCTTTTTGTTTGTGGTCACCCCATCTGCAGCCCCAACAAGTCCCGGGACCTCTTGGTCAACCCCCTCCTGGCCCTGGCCAAGTGGGCCCTGTACTTGACCAGGAAGGAGGCTCTGACCAGGAAGGTGCCCTGAGACTGTGCGGCTGCTTTCCTCTCACTTGTCCATGCACGTTTCTGGGCAGAGCACCAGTGGGTGGCATCCACCGGCTCCTTGGATGCCTTTGAGGACATGTGGGTGTAACCTGGAGGGCTTTGCTTGGTGTCCCCCTCTGAAGAACTTTTTTCATATTTTGAACCTTTGACCACCCCCCCCAATGTCACTCCTACCTTTTCTTCCTTAGTTGTCCAACCAACAAAAAAATTCAGCCTCCAGATCACTCCCACTCCTGCCCCCCCATTGCTCCCCTGTCTGCTCCCCCACCCAGCTCCAACAAACAGGGACGGGGGCGGGGGCTGGGCGCCCCCCCCCACATGGTCCCCTCCCTACTTCCTTCAGCCTCCCAACCCCCTACTTACCTGACATGAAGCCGGGTCCAGGTCCCTGCAGCCTGCACTGCTGCCTGCCCTTCATGGGCAGGGAGGGTGCTTCAGCACTGGGGCAAGGGCCAGCCATAGAGACACTCTGGCTGGCTACCAGAGCATCTCTGTGGAGGACCATGCATCTGGTTGTTTCAGGATGCTCTCACTTTTTTCTCCCAGTGTATTTTTTGACCCCTGGATATCCAGGGGTCTAATTTTGCTCCCATGCTGCAAATTTACAGTGCAGGGAACATTTTTTTGTTCCTGCATGTGCCTCTTGCAGCATCTCAAAAGGGTTTGAGATGCTCCAAGAGGCACATGCACGCTCATCTGGACATGCCCATGGAGTCAAAAGGATATAAGAAGTCTGCCTTAATGCTTATAGCACTCCTTTGCAAGGAAGAAGACCTAGATTCTGGTCCTTACTCCTAGAGTTCCTTACATACTTTACATTAGTGAGTGATTGACTGAAAAACAGAAATAACCCTGGGAATGGAAACCAGAATCCAGCTTTCCCCACTCCAATTGGAATGTAATTTCTAAGCCTCAGAGAGCTTTAGCAAGAAGGAACATGTTCATGCTCCTTCTTGCTTGCTCTGTTACAGTGCTTGGTGCCTTATTATGAATCACTACTCATAGGTGTTTTAAATGTACATATAGAAGACAAGGTAGAGGTGTACCTTGTAGAGTAACTGAATCAGAGATGCATAAGGTTTCATGAGCCACGAGCTGTGGAGATTTTTTTTCAACCAGCTTTATTTATCTTATAACTTGGTGCTCTGCAAAGTACTCAGTACCATCTGGCTAAATACTCATCATTAGTAAACCACTCATCCTTTACTGATGGTTTATCAGAATGGATCCTGTGTTTAAATATTGGGTACATAGTTAAGTAGGAAAGGCAATAGATATGAGTTCAGGAAATTTGCTGAGTGATGAGAGGTAAGTCAACTGATAATTAACTTTCTCCATTTTTTAACTTCCAAACAGCTCTCATAAAAATGTCTCATTTTATGAGCACCTTTGTAATGGTTGTAGAAGACCTTGAAATCATCAGATGGAAGGTGCTTTATAAGTACAAAATGTGTGCATTTATATATGTGTGTATACAGTATAGATGTTGACAGAATAGAATGACAGTCCATTGTGTCATATGAAGGATAGTGTGTTACTAAATTGTGAATCTTTGTAGGCTCCAGAATTATGGTTGTTTACATCAGAAAATACCAATGAAAATCCAACATGTATTTTTTGTATAATACATGACTGAGTTTACAGTAGCAAAAGAAGAAAACAGATTTTAAAGGAACAGATGGTGCTCTAAAGAAAGTAAAGCCAACAATGAAAACCCAAAATATCATCATATAATGAAAGTTTAATTTATCTTGAGTAAATGATCTAGTACACATCAGATGAATCTTTGAACACAAGTTCCAATGTTCATTTATCAGCAAACAGCATAGTTAATGTTACATAACAGTTTCTCTGATTACCCCTAATTTCATA